CCTCAGCCTGGCCTGTGCCCTCTCCAAGGCTGGGACTCCTTGGAGTATGACCACCTGCTGGTTTAGGCCTCTCCCTGGGGAATTGGGCCTAAGCTGGCAGTCAGACATCCCTCTAGCAGCCAGCAGCCCTCGGGGGATGACCACTTGCCAGCAGGAAGCAGGCCTAAGTTGCAGTCGGACATCCTTAGTGTTGCTAAGAAGCCAGGAGAGGCTCCCACCACCACCACTGTACTGGCAGCCGAAAGCCTGGCTTGTGGCTGAGCAGTGCTCTCCCTTTGGGAGCGCACTGACCACAAGGGGCAGCCCCTGGATTGAGCGTCTGCCCCCTGGTGGTCAGTGTGTGTCATAGTGACCAGTCATTCCCAGTCATTCTGCTGTTAGGGTCAGTTTGCATATTGCCATTTTATTATATAGAATAGAGGCCTGGTGCATGGATGGGGGACACCTGGTTTGCCCTGAAGTGTGTCCCGGATCAGGGTGGGAGTCCCGCTGGGGTGCCTAACCAGCCTGGGTTAGGGTCTGTTTTCAGGCTGTTTTCAGGCTGGCCACAGCCCCTTCAGAGTGGGGGTCCTCACTGGGGTGTCTGGCCAGCCTGGGTGAGCAGCTGAGGGCTGTTTTCAGACTGACCAAACCCCCGGCGACCAAAGCTCCCAGTCTTTCCTTTTTTTTTTTCACTCCAGCTCTGTGACCATGGCGACTGGAAGCAGGTATCTGGGGTTTATTTACCTTCTATAATTGAAACTTCGTTGCCTGGAGAGGAGGCAGCAGCAGGCCGGGAAGATTGGCTTCCTCCATCAGTGGAGCAAGCAAGCCTCCTGCTCACTCCAGCTCCGTGGCTACAGCTGGCTAAAAGCAGGTATCTGGGGTTTGTTTAGCTTCTATAATTGAAACTTTGTTGCTTTCAGTGGAGCTCAGAGCCAGGCCGCGGCAGGCGGGGAACCTTGGCTTCCTCCATCAGTGGAGCAAACAAGCCTCCTGCTCGCTCCAGCTCTGTGGCCATGGTCGCCATCTTGGTTAGGTTAATTTGCATATAGTTGCTCTGATTGTCTGGTGGGCATAGCTTAAGGTGTAGTGAAGGTATGGTCAATTTGCATGTTTGTCTTTTATTAGTGTAGATGACCCTTATTCTGAATTCTTTTCCTAACATATTGCATGCCTTCATTTCATTTAGTTCATTTCCTGGCAATTTCTCTTTTTCTTTCCATGGGGGGTTGTTTTATTGTCTCCCCATTTTTGCTATCTCTTTCTGTCCCTGTGCACCCTGCTTGGGGTTTAAGAGGTTGTAGACTTTCTCAGGGCAATGATTCAGAAATTGTTAGCCCAAAGTCTGGGTCAGCCTTG